GAGGTAGGCTCCGGCTGTGGCCGAGCCCGCTCGGCACCCCGGAGCTCGGTGGCGTCGTCCATCCCGCACTCGCTCCGGTTCCGGGACGTGTCACGCGCGCACGAGCACGTTCGCGACGCGCATCTGGCATCGCACGGAAGCCCCGACGACCGCGCGTGCGTGCGCGCGCGAGCGACACCGTCAACGTAAACCCCTCTGTTGACAAGTTAACTTTTTTTCCTCCCGTGGAAAAGGTGCGACAAATGCTTGAGCGTGGGCCTCCAGTCGCGTATTTTGGAGACTCTTGCTTGTCTTCAGGGTGGGGAGCCGGACGAGGGGCCCCTGGGGCTCCTTAAGGGGCTCCTGGGTAAATTTAAAGAGACAGTACTCGTGTCCACGAGAGCCCAGAGCCGCCGTTGCGTCATCACACGTCCGTCGGGGCGTCCCTTATGATCATCATCATTAGTATTAGTCATAGATGGATGGATGGATACATTTTTATTACTTTTTAAATGCAGGAATAAAAATCAATGCCAGTGTAATCTGAAGGTGTGGAATAAGGTGGAATGAGTTTATACTTTTTTTTTAAAGAAAATGAATATTGCTTATTTATTTGTGATTTTTTTAAGATAGACACAAATATTGTTTTCGGGTTGTTTTTTTTATTGTGGATATTTTTACACACTAAGTTTTTACTGTTTTGGCCTGTTTTATAAATTTTTGTCTGCACATTTCAATGTATTTTATTTCACACATTCATTCTAATGTTTTATTCAATTTTCCTCAATATTTACACACACATTTTAAATATCTTCCATTGTACTCTTCAAATTCTTATATTTCACATGCACTTTTCACTTTTCAAACACAATCACTACTTACGAATGTTTTTATTTTCTCCAGTTTGACCTTTTATTCATTGTATTCTTTTTTTACACGCATCCATCATTTTAGTATTTTTGTTTATTTTTACACACACAAGCATTATTTCATATATTTTATTTTGTTTTTTAGACGCACACCAACGTTTTACTTTTTTTTAGATTTTATTTAATACATGCACACGTTTTAAAATATGTATATTTCATGCACACTACGTACCTTTTATTTTATTCACATTTAACGCACAAGCAAGTTACAATATTATTTTTGACTTACATTTTTAGGCAGTTTCGTTTTCATTCCCTTTATTCATGTTTTAGGCACGCTCCTTTAAACTATTTTTATGATCATGAGTGTAATTATGATTCGATGTTTATGAATAAATGTATTATTCACAGTATAACCCCATCACACCAAACATGTGTAACCACAGCGTGGGTCGGGCCAATATCCGGGTCCTGCCGTGCGTTGTCAAGGCAGCCAGTCCCCGGCTGGCTAGTGGCGGGAGCTAACCGTGCGGTCCTCCCGGAGCTGTCCTCACATAGAGACCGAAAAAGAAACCCTCACTACCGTTAAAAAACAAACAAAAAAAAAAACCCGAGTCAAATTACTAAGGGACCAGGTAAACGACCGTGCATGCTTTTAATTCGCTTGCTCCTTTCTCGCTTGCCGCGCGAGGCCCACGGGCGCAGACAACCGACGAGGACAAGATGTCCATTGTGAGACGCGGTCCGTAGCCTCGTCGGGGCCTCGTTCGACGACCGTCCCCCAACACTTCCGCCGCCAAAGCCGTTTTGCACTATTCTTTGGTCACGTACTCGCAAGCACTTGAGTTTGCTGCGGTTTGAATGGAGCAAAAGGCTCCCAAAATGGGACGTTTTCGCCGTCGGCGGTTGGAATTAAGGTACAGTGGAGGACACAGTTCAAGGAATAGTGTCACAGTGACGACACATTTTAAAGGGACAGTCGGACGTTGATACACCCCCTTTACTCCCCCCCCCCCCCCCCCCGAAAAAAACAGACGTTAGATAAAAGCAAACTTAACGTTCGTAAAACATAAAAACAAGAAACGTAATTATATTATCGGTATTGTGAGCCGCTGTAATATTGTGTAACTTTTTACCATGAACTCCACTTAAATAGAGAATTCAATTGTAAGGCTTGCTTGATTCAATTAAAACCCGGGTGGGGGGCACATCTGGCATTTTTGAATTTTTGTGGCTGCGAAAGTAAATTGTCAAGTCAAGTCCAACTTTCTTGTCAAATGTGCTTCAGCACAGATGAAATTTCTTCCCTCTCAAGACAAAATATTGTGCGCATTGACCTATTGTTTTACTTTTTTAAACGCTGGGACATTGCAAAGCATTGTTTGTTACCAATCCCCTTTTTAAAACAAATGTAGTAGTATTTGAACAAACTAGGTACCGGCATTCCATTTGTTGTGTACTGGAAATGTAATATGGGGCAATTATGCATTTATTGAGGGTCCACTTTCATATTGACCCTCTGAAGGAAAACGTAACTATGATGTAACCCGTGACAAAAATGAGTTTAAAACCTCTGCACTAAAATTTATTGTACAGAAACATTTCAAAAAGATTGTACTCCCAAAAGGAGTTTACACACATATTCATTTTTTTATGCATACGTTTATTTTTTTCTCAATTAGTATGTTTCTTTTCTTTTTTTCCCCACACTCGTGGATTTGTTGACACATTTTCTTCTCGCACCAGCCCATGTATGATCTGCTCCCTGTCCTGTAGAACACTGGACTCTTTGCATGATCCTGTAAGCACAGTCACGGCGGAACAAAACCTCCCGGACGGAAGGAATGAGGGACTCCATGGGACGAGATTTCGCGGGTTTGCAGTAGCATGCCGACGGTGAAGAGCGAAGGTGACTCGGCCTCCGATTTGGATGGCGCCACCTCGACGACTTCCATCACAGCGAGTCTCTCAGTTAAAACCACTCGGACTGTCGGGACCATGACCAACAGTGGCCGGACGCGAGTCACGCGGGTCAAAACCGAGCATGCGTCAGCAACCGAGAATGAGGAGGATCGGGTGGCTCGTCGCCGGGAGCAGTGGAGGCTGAAAAAGCGAGAGCAGCGGGCCAAGATGGCTGCGAGGCTCACCAAAACCAGAGAGAGAATCTCGCCAGTGATAACTGCGTCTGCTCACTTTCTTTTTCCTCACGCCAACCAAGGTGGCCAAACCGAAACACAGACTTTGCGCAAATCTGCTCAAATGGCGACAGAATCGTCGAGAAAGTCTCCACATTTTGTATCTCCGTCAAGCATCACTCGATGCAGAACGACTTGGCAGAGATCCTTGGAAGCGCAGAGACATCAAAAAGTCAAATCCTTGTCCATGACCTTGACGTCGAAAATGAGAAGCATCCCACCGGTGGACGCCAGTGACACTCCAGAGCAGATCATCGCCAAACAGAGAGAGTACTGGCGGATTAAAAAGCGGGAGCAGCGAGCAAAAATGTCGATGGAGGCGAAGGCCCGGCTCAAGGAGAAAGACTCCCTGAAGCGGCGAGTCCGACGCTACCAGAATATCCTGAAGGAGATGAGGAGGGCACGGGCGTCGGAGCGCGGCCTCGAGACCATCGGGGGCTTCATCAAAGAGGACGGGACCGTGTCCGCGGGCATTCCCCAGACAAAGTCCATCAACGGCATTGCCAGGAACGATGGGCTTGGGGTTTCTGATCCCAAAGTCCTTCTGAGAGCTCCCACCCAAAGCTCAAAGACAACACCCGTCAATTCTTTCAGTCACCTCACCCTCACTTGTCCTCAGAGCCGGCGCAAGGCCAGCTTTCCCGAGGCTGCCTCCCGAGTCGGCCGGGCTGGCTGCGTCATGAAAATGCTGGTTTCGGATAAAGCCTTGACCAATGAAGACCGGATGGCGAAGAAGCGCGAATACTGGAGGCTGACGAAGCGGCAACAGCGGGCGGCACGCGCCGCCCGCCTGAGGCAAGGGATCGCCGAGGCCAGGCTCGCCCCGGCGGTCCAAAGCGACAAGGGCCCGAGGCCGGCGTCCCGAGCGCCTCTCTTGAACACGAGCGAGCCGACTCATGCCATCAAACGGGAGCCTGATCTAAATCCTACCCCGGAACAAGACGATAGTCCAGACCTCAAGCCTCCGCTCGTGGTGCCCAAGCGCGAGCCTGACCCGGCTCCGGCCGCCGACTCCCAGGCTACCACTCTGCTGGTGGTGGCCTCGATGAAGAAGCTTCTGGAAGAGTCTCTGAGCACGGTGAACGACGGCAAAGACCAAAAGCCTGATGTTGAAACCAAGGTGAAAGGGGAACCTGATAAACCGGAGGTGAACGAGGAGCCCGACGGAGCGGAGGTGGCCCCTGTCGTCCAAGCTCAAGAGCCCGATGCGGTGCCCCGGCATTTCCCGAGCGCGGCGGCCAGCCTGCAGAAGAAGCGGGAGTACTGGAAGCTGATGAAGAGGCAGCAGAGGGCCCGGCAGAAGGAGAGGCAGGGCAAGGGCGGCGGCGGCGGCGGCGGGCGTGGTGCTGGCGCCCGGAGTCTTCCTCTCAGGAGCAACCAGGTGACACACCTTGGCGATCATTCCCCACATTGCTGTGTTTGAGCACTCGACTCGACACTCAATGACACCGCATTTGTTTGCATGTGTGCCACGATTGCTTCCTGCGTGTCTGTCTGTCGACGTGTCCGTGTCGCATTCTGTTTGCGGTTCTGTCTGTACATGTCCTCGCACGTTCTCGTCAGTGTCCACTCCTGCGGAAATCTGATTTGTTACCGCCAGCGTTTTGCTGGGATTCGACATGGCGGAGGCAGCAAAAATAGCATTCAGCAAGCAAAGCCCCTCGTAAAGCCTTTCATCGGGTCATTTTAGACTCGATGGACCGAAGTCTGGGGACCCATGAACAAATTCATCTGTCTGTTGATTCAGCGTCACCTTTCTCATCATGCATCTTCTAAATCCATTCGATAGTTGCTGCATGGATGTCATTTGAGGATTTCCCACCACCGTTGCACAAGTTCTCGATAGTGTTGAGGTCAGGGGATGACGGCTGACCCCTTGTATTTTATTTGCCCTGAGGGAGGTTTGAAAGGTTTCTTTTTTTTTTATTTTGACGTCATCGATGCGTTTTTGTCTCGCAGGCTCCAGCTCTCGCCGTGCGCTCCATCAACGCTGCCAAGACACCGGTGAAGCTCCTTCCAAAGCCGGCCTTGTCTTCGGGCAGCAGCGTTCCCGCCGTGCTGCTCAAATTGCCCGAGACCCTCGCCGTCAAACCACCCAACTGCGCGGACTTGGACCCTGCGCTCCCCACTCTGAAACCCCCGGACAACCCGCTTTCCCACATAATCCTGCACCTCATCGAGCCTCCCGCCCGAAGCGCGCGTCCCGCTCCCTTGAAACGGTCGTGGCCGTCCCCGGCGCCGCTTCACGCCATGAGCACCCCCAAGCGCCGCCCCGAGGAGTCCGAGGAGGACTTTCTGAAGCGGAAGCGCGAATACTGGAGGATCAAAAAGAAGCAACAGAGAGCCAGGAAGTCTCAGGGTGAGAAGTGGATCCCTCAGAGGAGGGACTGCGTGCCGCCTGCTCAGGACCTCCAGGTACAAAGTATTGAGGAACAAAACCGAGGGCCGGTTACCGACACGGTCGGCTAAAGTAGGCCATCTGGAGTCACCATGGCAACGCCAGACACTAATCTCCTTATTTCAAGCCAGACATAGTGGAGTACAGTGATTCCCCACCACTGTGCCACACCACACACATCGTTGTTTATGTTTGTTTGTTGTTACAGATGCTACACTACTTACGGGCAGCCGATGACCACCATGGGGCACCGAATCATTGGCGTACATGAGCAAAATCGCAATCAGTTTAGATAATTAAGATGTCCTGAAAAAATCCTTATCAGCTCGGCTGTAGTCCGCTCGTGCGTCATGTGATCACATCGTGTTGTTGTTTTTTTTTTGCAGCAATTTGGTGGACAGCAGGGACGACTCTCACGACATGGCACCATTACAAGGTAACGTACTGACAGATGTGAGCTAGCATGAGCCAAATCGCAATCAGTTTAGATAATTAAGACGTCCTGAGAAATCCTTGTCAGCTCGGCTGCAGTCCGCTCGTGCGTCATGGGATCACATCGTATTGTTGTTTGTTTTTTTTTTTTGCAGCAATTCGGTGGACAGCAGGGACGACTCTCACGACACGGAACCATTACAAGGTAACGTACTGACAGATGTGAGCTATTTAAAAAAAAAACAAAAAAACCATACATTTGAATATTCCTCAACCACATCGCCAGATGAGCTTCTGTCAGCCGACGCCGAGCGCACCCCCGGTGAGGAAGATCCCGTGTCAGAGGGCACGTGGAGGAATTTCTACCTCATGGACTACGACCCCATCAACCAGCTGCTGGTGTGCATGGCGTGCGGCGAGCAGCAGCACTCGCACAGCCCAGAGGGAGCGCTGGCGCACATCGACGAGGCCCACCCGCACACGCGCGCCCTGGAGCCCGCCGAGCGCCGCCGCATCCTCGAGGCCTGGGACGAGCAGGTGTCCCGGCGCGAGCGCTTCTTCACTCGGCAGCTCCAGCGGCGCGCCGCAACTCCGGCAGGTAGGCGCGTTGGTCTGTTTTTCTGCCAACCAGTGAAATTGAGCATCATCGCGTCATGAAACTTCATACTGTGTTCCAAATGATTATGTGGAAAGTGTTTCTGTGAACGTAATTCATTTGTGTGCAATGATAAAGGCTTATTCAGGAGTTTCTGCCACGCATCGTATTACGAGAGCAGCCGTTGAATCGCAGCACTGAAAATCGTGTTTCTTTGAAATAATTTTTATGCTACCTGGGGAGCAAAAATATGTTTGTCAACGTACTGTTCATATGTGGCTAATTCAGAGAGTACAAATCGGTTTGTTCAAAAAAAATAAATAAAATTAAAAGAGTAATAAGGAGTTTCTGTCACCCAATTTGCTTGTGATTTTCCTACTGGTTAAGAGAATAAACAAAAACGGCGGCTCACTGCTCATTTGGAGCACAGTTTATTGTTCGTTTCAATAGAGACGCCGACCTGCCCACATTGACTGATGTTTCCATGGCAATTGCAGCAATTTTTCAGCGCAGGCATTCGTTGATAACGCCCCCACGCTTGTTTTTTACAGAAACGTACAGCAACTGAACTGCGGGACAAAAGCAACCTTTTCTGGCATGACGACGACGTTCCATCGAGAAGTTGTTCATTGAGACAAAGCAATTGATAAACACACACATCAGGGATCGGCAACTAAGGGTGGCTGTGGGCCCAATTTTTTTTTTTTCCTTCTTCACAGTTGGACCACTGGTCTCAGTAGGACTCATCAGGCAAAACCTGCTTGTCCTACCTAAAAACAAAATCTCGTGGGCCAGTCAGCAATCGGGTGCCGGTGTAGGAAATCCCGTGGAGCGCAAAGGCTCGTCATTTTGTCGCCAGATAAGACCACACCAATATGCAGGCACTTTTAAAACTGCAAATGTCGTTGCATCGCTAATTTATCAGGGGGAGTTTCCCCGTCCACGTCATCTGGCAGGCCAGATATAATTGGCAGCGGGTCCATTACGGCCCACGGGCCGAATGTTGCCGACCGCTGCTGGTTACAGCACACTTGAATACTGTTTGGGTCAAACTCTCAAGAGTGGATTTGGGACTTGTTTACAGTTTTCAAATGCCTTTTTTCTGCAATTAAAACTTTTTTTTTTAACCTTTGGAATAATTTGGTCTTCTTTTGTCACACGTGAGTTCTTCCTTATTGAGGCCGGACGTGTGATGTCCAGGGTTCAAGTCTCGGCTTTGTCCCCTCCCCAAAACACGCACGTTGGATTCATCGAAGACTCTTAACCTGCGATTCCGGTCCAGGATGGCGCCAGCTTACCCGCGACGTCTTGTGAGGACAAGCATTTTCGAAAACGGAAGGGTAGATACGTCCTACGGTCAGTTGCTGTGCCTCCTCGCCTCCTCCGTGACCTCGGGTCCCTCGGGCGCCGCCGACTCCTCCCTCGGGGACTCCTCTCTTGAGGTTTCCGCTCGCAGCTCCCTTGTGCCGGCTTGCAAGCGGAACACGGTGGGGATCTGACCCAGGATGGGGTTGCTCTCCTGGAGACCGCTGATCCACTGGTTGAGGGTGGCCTGGTCCCCTTGGCTGGTCATGCACATGGCAAAAACCGGACCTTCATCCACTGGACAAAAAAAAAAACACAAGTTACCCAACATTTTTTTTTGGTTTTTTTAAGAATCCAATCCGAAATATGATCATCTTACAATCTTCTACATCAAAGGTCTCCAAGTCCCCAAAGTCCCGATCAAAGTCGAGGTCGAGTTGCAGAGGGTAGTAGAAACATCGCTCTGGGTCAAAGGACTCCTCCACCTTTATTTAAAAAAAAAAAAAAAAAAACAATTTAAAAATAACTATTATTGTACATAAGTCGCTTTCAGTACTTTCAGCTCCTTACACCAAATAGGTTTGGTACTTTTTGTTCAACCTCTGCGGAAAATGGCATTCAAAAATTCGACATCACATGCAGGTATCGTTTTGTTTTTTTCTATTATCCTTGCTAATTCGGCTTTATTTTTATTAGATGACAAATTCCTTGAGGATATTTCGGAGTCTTTGGATGTCTTTTTCAGTTCTTTTGCAACCAGGTCTGGCTTCGCCCACCTTGTCGCCAGGCGGCACGGGTTCGGCTCGGAGAACGTAGTAGTGGACGCACGTCTTCCTCAGCCAGAGGGGGAAAGGTCCCTCCACGAAAACAGGCCTGCTCGGGTCGTGCTTCCCGAGGAGCTCCATCTGGTCGGGGCTTTGGATGCCGACGATGTGGGGGAGGCTGATCTGGTGGCCGCTCTCTGTCGCATCTGTGCAGGGCATCTGGTGAGGACATCCGCTAATTGACTCGCATGGCGCAACACTGATGGAAAATTACATTTTCACTTTGGGAGTGAATGACAGTGTCATTTTTTTGAAAAAATAAAATAAAATACAGATAATGTGAAAATAAAAACGTCCTCTTTGAGGAAAAGAAAATCTCCTGTCAAATCATGTACACTCCAGATCAAAAATGCCCCTGATTTCAAAAAGAAAAGCAATGAGAATGTTTAAAAGGAAAATTTCCAAATTTAAGTATGATGTAAAAAGTTAAGAAATGATCTTGCTCTCATTTTTCTCTCACTAAATCCGAGCAATTCAACAACAGTAGACTTTAAAGCCACCGTATGTCTGGGAGTTTTTCTGCTGCTACTGGACCTGAAAAAAATGTTCATCACAAAGTGAAATGGCTTGAAAAGGCACCTGGTAAATGGTGACTTTGGCATCCAGGTCGTTGGCTATGCGCTTCAGGCTGAAGCGAGCCAGGTCCACCGGGTCTTCGGGCAGCTGATGCGGGATGGGGAAGGGGTTGGCGTGTTTGAATTTTGGGAACCAGTACATGATGCGCTGGTACTTCCTCATTGGGTGGCCCTTCGCGCCAAAAATCTGCACCAGCAGGACCTTGGTTTCCACGTTGGGCATGACACCTGGCGTGAAAGAAAACAAATTGAGCTTGGCCTTTTGAGCGCCTCGTGAAACTTGGACACGCACCGTAATTCTCCATTTGTTCCAGTAGCTGCACGGCGCACTCCTGCTGCCGGGGGTAATGATTGAACATGCGCTGGATGAAGTTCCTGGGCACGAACACCTCCTTGGGGAAGACGTCCAGCAGCTGGTTGTAGACGGCCAGGTCACGCTCCACGCCGAACTCGGGCATCTTCTTGAGCGCCGCATAGATGAACTCCACGTGACCCCGCCGCCTCACGTCGGCCTTGGCGAACGCCTGCAGCGCCTCGACGAAGGAGGCCTTGGTTTTGTGCTCCGCGGTGAAGGGGTCGCGCGTGGCCACGGGCATCTTGGTGCGGTCCTCGCCGATGAACTCGGCGGTCACAGGGCTACCTTTGTTACCGCGGAAACACCTCACGGCCTATACCAAGTCGTCATAGGATGGGGTGTCAATGCTATATGGATAAGGGGTTCGCATCATTTCTCATGAAAAACAACAGTTTTTTTGTTTTTTGTTTACTCTCAGGACAAGTAAATGTACTCAGAAAGTGCATGATTTAGTTATGACCTTTTTGGCACGCAGGCCCCAACAACAGTTTTACCTGATCATGCTGTGGACTGCGTAGTGAACTGGGGCGAGTGGGCCGGGCTGCGGCGTAGGCGGACTGGCCAAGCAGCCGGAGCAGGCAGCGTGTGCACTTCATGGTTGAACTGCAGCAGTGGGAAGAAACCACATGACAGTCGACTACACAAAATGACCTGAGAGAGATGTGTGTGTGTGTGTGTGTGTGTGTGTGTATATATTTTTTTTCTTTTTTTAGTTTACAAAACTACAGTCGGTGTCACCATTTGCTCGCTGTGTTTTGCTACTTTGGGACAATATGAGCGGAATAATTTTCACACCGACAAAAAAGCAGCCCCGTAGAAGGCAATCGACCACGAGGTATCTGCCTCTAAACCAGTGAAGTTGCCAGTCCGTCCAATACTTTAAATATTATCCAACTTTAAAGTATAGTACAGATATTATTTAATGGAATCATTTTTTGGTTGTCATATGTTGAAGCACAGTGTTAATCTTCAAACTGCAAAATGTTACACTATATATTTTTTTTGTTTATCTGTTACAGTATTTTTTTTTTTACTTTCCAAGCAGCGGGTAACATTTTTTAAGATCCAATTCAGTTGAATGTGACTTTTAAGTACAATAAATTTCCATTTAATTTTTAAGAGCAGTTTCAAGACATTTGGGTGGAGGTGTCATTTCACTTTTATGCAATACTATGCAATTTTAATTGTTATTTAAGTAACCTGGTTAAATTAAAGTGCAGTTCTGATCTCAAACTGCCAAAGGTTACAGTGGCTTGTAATAATAGCAAATATACATTTTAGAAATAAAACCGTCCGACATGATTTATTCAAATGGCACATTGCGATTGGCATGAGGGTCAATGTTAAAACCGAACCTTTTTTCATGTCGCACATTGACGTGTGCGTGGACAGTATTTAAAAAGCTTTTTTTCCTCACCGTCTCCTTCAAGTTGCTCTTCATGAGTGTCACCGTGCATAAACACCGACTGACTTCCGGTTTCCGTCGCCGAATGCCGCCGGCCGTAACAACAGGAACGTTGACGTTGTTCCGCTCTTTGTGTATTTATGTACTGTATTTATTTTTGGTAACGATACATGGACAAGCTGAGCTAAAACCATTCTATGTTGCGAGGGAGCTATTTTAAAAGTATATTTTGTGATAAGAAGCTGCCCTGGCTATTTATATTCCACCATTTAGCACTCAGTGTAGAAGAATAGAAGCAAGTGGAACTTAAATGACTTTCTTTTCAACAACTTGTGTTATCATACAAGTTCAGTTCAATTCGTTCGCTTCATTTAAAAAGAAAAAAACATGAGGATTAAAATGTATCTATATGGTTAAATTCATGAAAAGTTATTCATAATAACAAGGAATCATCCATCCATTGTCTGATCCGCTCATCCTCACAAGGGTCGCGGGGAATGCTGGAGCCTACCCAAGAAGGAGGCGGGGTACGCCCTGAACTGGTTGCCATACAATCGCTGGGCACACATACACGAACAACCGTCCACACTCACACTCATACCTAAGGACAATTTAAAGCAGGGGTATCAAACTCAGATTTTAGTTAGTTTCCCTTGGAGGGCCGTTATGACTGAAACACTATAAAGAAGTCAAAAATAACTGTTTATTAACCTCTTGTTTAAGATACTGTAATGAGGGGGTTGACAACAAGAAAATCGTTACAGTATCGCTCTTTTTACTACGAATGACAATTTGAAATTTTGGTAGCGATGTTAGGAAGCCCTATGAAAGATGACATCTTTGATTTGCTTTCGTGGGCCACATAAAATGATGTGGCGGGCCAGATATGGGCCCCGGGCCTTGAGTTTGACACCAGTGATTTAAAGTGTTCCATTAACCTGTCACGCATGTTTTTGGAATGTGGGAGTAAACCCACGCAGACACAGTTAGAACATGCAAACTCCACTGGACTCGAACCCTTCACCTCTGCACCCTGAGGTCGACGCGCCAACCAGGCACCCACGGCGCCGCCACTAGGAGTCAATTACAGTACTGTATACTGTATTTGAATATGTTGGTGGAGTTCACGGAAACTACTCTAAAACGGCAGTTATGAAAATGTCCACACGATGGCGACAAATACATCACACAGCGAAGCGCACAGTTTCACTATGAAGAGTTAAAAGAGAAGCGATTTGGACTCAGTAGTAACAGTGTGGATACTCGACATGGTGGACTTCGGGGGCACATTTCTCTCGGCTTCACTGACAACTTGACGTCAAGAGTGTCTGTGCGTGTGGGTGTGAGCGACACTCTCTCCCGGCATGGGGACGAAGCACACTTCTTTCGGGTCGCCTCGGGACTTTCGACGACACGCGTCATAAAAAAATTAAATCAAATCAGAAACTCACAGCATGGAGTCTTCAACTAACAGCCTGGGTGAGTACTTGCGTGTTTGTCGGCCTTGTGCAAAGTGTTCTATTTTTTTTAACATTGCATAAACATGCTTGTGCGTGACATAAATGCGTGGGCGTGGAGGCAAACGCTAGCTGGTTTTGTGTGTGCGTGTGTGTGTGTGTGTGTGTGTGTGTGTGTGTGTGTTTAATAAACTGTTTACTTGTTGCTTGTTAAAGAAAATACCAACGAGGTTTCGTAACCTCGAGGCTAATTAAAATGTGCATAGTGTATCGTGCAAAAAAGGTATTTGCCCACTTCCTCATATTTGTTTTTTCTTTATTTGCATATTTATCACGCTGAAATGTTTCAGATCGCCACAACATATGTAATACAAGGCAGCCCAAGTAAATAATATAAAAGGAAGTTTCTAAACGATCAGGTCCAACGTGAGAAAATAATTGTCTCATAAACTTGATACAATGAACCCCCACTGAACTTAAATTTTCCACAAATGTAGTACATGCCACCATCCTTTTGCGTCTTGATGCCATGGAATTATGTTTAAGACGCTTCAATTAGACAAAAGTTCTGCTTTGCCAACATTTTGTTGACTATTGATGCCAAGGAGCTGTGTCCTAGTGAGTTGAGGGGCTTCATTAAGACAAAAGTAGTACTTGGCCACCATCCTGTGACGTCTTAGTGCCGAGGAACTCTGTTGAAGTGAGTTGAGGCCCTTCCTGAAGACAAAAGTAATACTTTGTCATCATCTTGGTGGCAATCACACCATTCATTAGCTGTGTGTGTGTTTGCGTTTGAGTCTGTCTATTGTTTGAGTCACCTGCTTGCAAGACATCGTGTCTGCACTGAATTAGATCTTTTCTTTCCAAATTCAGATGCTCACTATGATGAGGAGCATCTGTTCCTTTCTAAACTAATTTGCTTCATAGGAAGAATATTTCAAGTCAACATCATAGGCAGATTTTGAAATTGTATGAGAGAAGACACTTATGTGAAAGAAAGTCCAGTTTTTTTTTGTTGGTTTTTTTTCTTTTTTTTTTGGCAGGGGCTTCTGTAGATTCATGGCATTTCAATACAGATCAATGAAGAAAACACACACATCATTGGAAGTCAAGGCGCCACCGTACAGTAATTAAAGAAGAATCAAGTAAAGGGGCAATTAAATTCATTATCTCATGACTAAATGGATGACAAAGAATACAAAACAACTTATGTCACGGGGCATTGGGAAACATCGATCTATTCATGTTGGGAGCAAGCCCAGTCATGCCAATTCGACAGCCATTTCCAAATCCGGCTCCGGTACTTTAGCTGCCGTAGCTGGACTGACATCTGATGGGGCGCGCTACCTCAGCAAAAGCCCAACCTTTCGGTGACTTTTTGAGCGACAATTTGAGGCTTCACGACAAGCAGCAGTTTGGCAGAGACGACAAAAGGCTTCAGGCTGCTTTTTGCCACTCCCAGTTGAAGTTTACTGCCAAAATAAACTTCAAGCGAAGTGCGCCTCGTGTGCTGAAAGCAACCTCGTAGCTTCGCCTGTTGCAAACAAACAATGCAAAAGGCCATAGTTGGGCTAAAAAAAAAAAATAGCACCTGTGTTCAAACCCTTACAGCAATGGATATTTTAACGCAGACGCGGGAGCAAGCGCATGTAGAACGACAATGTGGTACTCTCGGGGGTGATATTCTTTATCCTCTACGAAGAACGGCCAAGATCACTGCAGCTTACTAAACAGTTGTGACTGTCTCCATGTACGTATATCTGTGTCTGTCTCATACTGCCGCCAGGTGATCAAGGCACCAGAAGGAGCAGCACAATGTCTATTGAAGTGATGCAGAAAAGAAAAAATTACTGATTCCAGTAATATTGAAGAGTGCTATTTTTTTTTTACTTAAGACACATTACAATTGCTTGTTTTTTTTTTTTTTTGTTTTTTTTCCGTGGTCCAAAAAGCTATTTGCTCAATATTCAGAAAAAAATGTGTAATGTGGCGTTTGAACAGTTGGATACATCAAGAACAACTGTACCATTGATGGTCAACTCGAGACAGACGCTCTCATTCTGGAATCTTCTTCCGGGGAGACTCCCCAGCAAAACAAGCTGCAACTGAGAAAGAGCAATTAGCATCCCAGGGCCGGGGCGGCTACATTTTGACGCAAGTGTCTGTACTTCGACTCGAGTACAGAGCGTGTGTGCTTTTGCAACCTCTGCAGTCATGAGGCTCAGGCCGCGGGCCAAAAAATGTCAGATCGACATGCTGTACCGTGTTTTCTCAAAGCCTGTTCCAAGCAGGAAGAACCGCAGGAAAAAGACAATAAAATTCACGGGTTGTCCGCCAAGAGGGAAGACGACTGCCAAAAGCGGATCCCGTGAAGAGGCAGGAGTGGGCGTGGCCCTGCCGCAGCTTGTCACCTTTCTGGCGCCGGTTTTCTTCTTCCGCAGGCGTAGATTTGGTCAAGCGCAATCCGATGTCCTAAGATCCGCTGAAGCGCGCTCTCGTTCGCTCCGTCCGCAGATGACGCGTCGGCGGACGGCAGCGCCGAATCGGCCGAGCGGGCGTCACTGATGGAGACACGTCTTCAGGCGCAGGAGGACGAGATCACGCTGCTCAAGGCCTCGCTGGCGGACGCCTTGCGCCGCATCCGCCTCCACGATCGGCTTCTCCCCGTACTCAAGCAGCAGCTGGTCGCAGGTTTGCTGGAGCCCGGTCACCCGCCGGCCAACCCGACGGACTCGATTTGACCAGCTCGATATGTCGCTGATAGTGAACCCCGCTGCCGCCGGACTGATCAACCAAGTCTGCTGCCACGAGGGCGAGACGCTTTCTCCCAGCCTCGGCGTCGAGGATGGACTTCTTTTGTGCGGCGGCAGGTGCTGGGAAAAAATTATTTGGAGAGAGATTGAAATCACGATGAATGAGCACAATTATTTCATAACTTCAGCCTTTGATCACGTGTATGAATTCGGCCCCCGCTTTTGTCTCCAGCCAATCATCGCGAAACGTTGCGGGCAGGACCAACGGCCACACGGCAGGCTCGCCGCCTGCCGAACCGAGACCGACGACAGCGGAGCGGGCCACCCAGACGGAGGCAAGCGAGGGCGGCCGCTATCCCAAGCCAAACGCGGCGCAGGGCAGGGCGGATTTATCGGAGGTCGCCCTCCCCCAGCGGGCCAAACTGCACCGCGCCCCCACCGTGGAGGACGAGGACGACGACGAGGAGGACCTGGAGGATGACGAAGAAGCGGCGGAGCAGGACAAGGAGCTGAGTTGGATGCCGTCGGTTGAGGAGCCCCTGCAGGCGAGCGCCGTCGTCGGCCTCCGGGACGGAAGCCGCTCCCCGGAAGAGGCCGACGATAAGAACCTCGGTCCTTCGTCAAGCGCTGCGTCCCCCGTCCGGCAAGAACCGAAGAAACCGCTGTGCGTGAGCTCTTCTTTCTCGGGTGTCGCTCAAAGACCCCGTTGCACTCTCAACTACGTTGTCGCGTTCAAACAGCAAGTGGGAGCGGGCGCTGGAAACTGCCGTCACCGCCGCGTGACACTTCCAAGTTAGTGTATGTATTCAGGCTTAGTGGAAAAATTGACATCGGGCAATTTAGTGAGTCTTTATGCCAGGGGTTCTTTTGGGTCCAAGAGGAGAGTTTTTTTCCAAGACCCACCCTCACCCCCAATAATCCTAACGGCAATGTAACATAAGCTCCGTGTGCACAATTTGCAGTATCAGCGTGTAGTATCGGAGCATTTTTCAGAGTCAGATTATGAATGCAGGCGGACGGTTCGAGCATCGGTGCGTCGTGAGCAAAAAAAACGACTGAAATGTTCAACGACGTCCAGTCAAACATTTCGAGAAGCTCAAATGAGGTTCACTAGGAAATGTTGTGAGAGTTTCTTTTGACCGGGCCAAAAATAGGGCCTCGTAATTGCGGGGTTTTTTTTTTTTTTTTTTCTAAATAAGACAGTTATTGTTTTTGTATGTGTGTGTGT